TCACGTGGTCCATGGGGGTTCAGATGTAGTAGTGCTCTCTGAACACTGGTTATGGCCCTACGAGCTACACAAACTGGATGAGTTCAATCCTGACTACCGAGGCCTGGGGAAAGAAGATCCTAGACTGACCGATACATCTGACAACTGCTCTAGGGGCTGTGGAGGGGTGGGGATTCTCTGGAGGAAGTCGTTTGATGTAACTCCAATCTCTGACATTCAATCTGACAGAATTTGTGGTATCAGAGTTAAAAGGACAACCGACGATGATCAGACATGGATCTCCATCTTGAGTGTCTACCTTCCCTGTCTAGACTTGGGGGTTGAGCTCTATCGCGACTCGCTGGTCGAGTTGGAAAGGGTGGTTTTGGAATCACAGCAGTGGGGGCCTGTGATTGTTGCCGGCGACTTCAATGCCCACCTTGGCCCCATGTGGGGGCCTAGAGCACACAAGAGCCCAAACGTCCAAGGTGTTCTACTCGGCGAAGTCCTCGATAGATGCAAACTCCATGCTGTGTCCTTGGGTGAAGCTACCTCTGGTCCCGACTATACTTACCACTCAGGGAACTCCAAGACCATCGTGGACTACATCCTGGCCGATGTCGAGGCCTCTTCCTGTATTGAATCCTGTGAAGTTCTCGAGAGCAGTGACCTGAATACATCAGATCACCTTGCACTGTCAGTGTCTCTCTCTTGCGACATACCCACCCAATTTGCAAACGATCCCAATTGGATAAGAATCGACTGGGCCAAGGCAGAAAAATCAGGAGCCATGCTCAATTTCCAGAAAGAAGTATCTGACAGGCTAAAGCCATTCACTCAAAGATCTAGAGGCAATGTTGACCACATTGATAGAGAGATTGGGCATGTGGCATGGCTGATTACAGATGCAGCCCGCAAGACACTACCAGTGCTGAAGTCAAGTAAGGCCCACAGATTCAGGGACAGGACACTATCACAACTATGTGCAAAAAGCAAGGAAGCATGGAGAGTGTGGAGTGGAGAGGGCAGGCCCTGTAGTGGTCCCTTGTACGATGCCAAGTGTGCTTTGCGGAGAGAGGTCAGGCAGCGGATAAAATATTGTTCTGCTATGGAAGAGAGAAGGCGAGTACAACGACGGGAGACACTTTTCCGAGCCAACTCCCATCTCCGGTTCCGTATTCCACACAAACGTGGGAAGTCTAAATGTACACGTCTTCGTGTGAATGGAGCCCTGGTCTCTGATCCATCACAACTCTTACAGGCATGGACCCAGCACTTCCAGAGTCTTGCCAAATCGCAAGAAGAGAAGAATCATGCACTAAAAGAATCAATCAAACAGTCATCACCCCTGCTCTCCGCAACCTTCCAGAAGGAAGAGGTCTTTCTGGACGTTCCTTTCAGTACCGAGGAGGTAGAGCACACTGTGAACAAGATGAAACTGAAGAAATCTGCTGGACCGGACAATCTCACTGCAGAACACCTGAAATTCAGGGGTCAAACCATCATCACGTGGCTAACAGAGATCTTGAACTCCATTGTCGATGTGGAGCGGATCCCGTCATGCCTCAAACTAGGAATTACTATCCCTGTGTACAAGGGTGGAGGCAAGGACCCCCTCAATGCAAACAACTATAGAGGTATCACCCTCAATTCAGTCATATCCAAAGTTTTAGAAACCCTGATTCTCAACAGATTGGAGCCTCTCTTCATGGAGGCTGGCTTGCCACATCCTAACCAATCAACCTATAGGAAGTGTGTATCCTGTGCAGACGCAGTTTTTGCCACCCAAGAAGTGATAAACCGATATCTCCAAGAAGGGGGAGAAGTGTACATGTGTCTTTATGACTTGGAAAAAGCTTTTGATTCAGTCGAGTTCCCCATCCTTCTGAAGAGACTGTTTGACGTCGGTGTTAACTCAAAAACGTGGCGTATACTACAAAATTGGTACATCGACGGTAAAAGTTCTGTACGCCTGGGTCAGCATGTATCCTCTCCCTTTGCTCTGGGTCGAGGGGTGCGACAGGGGTCCATTCTGTCACCAGCGCTATTCTCACTGGTCATGGACCCCCTGTTAAGACAACTGCAGTCACTCTCCATTGGTGCATCAGTAAACAACATGTATGTGGGTGGCTTTCTGCACGCGGATGACATTCGCACATTAACCTCTTCTACAACAACACTTGAAGCACAGATCTCTACCATCAAAAAGTTCACCGAAGACAACTTCCTGAAATTGAATACCTCCAAGTGTGAGATCGTGGCCTTCAAGAAATCGTCTAGCAGAACAAACCAAGAAAGCATCGAGGTTGGTGAATGTAGCTTTCCCGTGAGTGGTGAAGCAATTTGCTTAGGATACCAGTGGAAGCAGGATTTGTCTTCCTCATCTTCAATACAGAATCGCATTCAGAGAGCACGAAAGGCCTACTTTCAGTTTGGCAGCATCTACGCTTTTCAGGGCAAGCTGAGCCCTGTATCATGTTGCTCTATAGTGGAGACATGTGTTCTACCCATTCTTCTCTATGGGGTTGAAAACTGGGTTCTGTCACCTGAATCCATCCGAATGCTCAAATGTTTCCAAGGAGAGATCGCAAAAAGAATCCTGAAACTGCCAAAATGGTACTCCAACACCGCGGCGATCGTAGCACTTGGCTGGAACTCACTCCACTCAGTTTGCACCATCAGAAACCTAAGGTTCCTGCAGAGAGTCATGACAAATGAAGAAAGCATCTGTCATCGAGCTTTCTCAGCTATGGTAGATGACGTGGAGGCACTCAGTCTAGTGAGGGAATGCAGGGAACTGGAGGAGAGGTACAAGTCGAATTTTACATCAGACATACTGAGTGCCAATGAGCTCGCAGAGGGGCTTAACATCATCAGAAATGCACAAAAGATCATCAACAAGAAAGACCAACTGCTGCTGCTACAAAGGTCTCCACATCAGTTTGTGCACAGATCGCCGAGTGTGTTTGGTGGAAGAAAGTTGTGGGATCTATGCACTGGATCACGGCCCCTCAGTTATCAAGGGGATGAAGAACTTGTGAGGGTGATTACCTACCAGATCATTCACCCAGCAATGTCCTCTGTGCGATACAGCTGATCTGGACAAACCAACTCTGCCGAACATGTAATAACCAACCACACAAAAAGTGACAACTCGTGGTGCACTCTACTGACTCTTTGACTACCATGCCCCAACTTCTTCATCATGTGTATCTCCTACATTTTTTTTAACCTTGTCTTTATACATGTCAATGCCCGGGCCAGGCCAATTCAAACATGACTTTAACTTTCTAATAACATAAGCTGCCAATGAACTGCTTAACCCCACCAATATTTACCTCGTGACCGTGCGCATTGATAGGGAGAGGACAACATGCACATTGGGTCAACATCTAAATGTCTCTACACCCCTGCATATGCAACCAGCAGCCCATTATCTACTTTAATCAGTCAGAATTGTTTGTCTTTTGTCTAACCTCTCCTATGAACATTTGGAGTGACATGATAAATTAGAAATTCGGTGGTTTGTCATAGCTAACAACGATAAGACGAATGTGGCGATTCTCCTGAACGACTGCGTTCCAGAGATATGGCGTCAAAAACACGAAAAAGCCCACGTGCGGTCGATCGCGCACCCTCTCCTGCAAGGCTACATACGCGCCACAGCGTTATGTTTAATTTTTCGCTGAGCATGCGCTACGGCCCGTCGGTTGTCTAATGGCTTCCATCATTTTTTGATCTCTGTCTCAATGGATCAACTTTGAGGCCATCATAGTATCACAGGTGGCAGCTTTGTGGATCAGCCATGCCTCCCCATCTATAAAACTCTGGCGAGAGCATTGAAACACAGAAGAGCAGATAGATTGAATGAACAAAATGAGATCCTCTTAACACCTGAGCAATGCTCTCAAACTGCTATATGCAACTACTACCCTGTGTTTTCAGCGAGACTCGTGTTACTGGCTCCGTCGATGACGCACGGCCCTGCATACCACTCGCGCGTTTAGCGCCGAGGGTTTGCACTTTAGTGCTTTTCATTTCTCCTTTTTGGTGCTTAAAGCCATCCCTATTATACATATCCCTTCATTCTGAAGAGATCTTTTCCACTTTTAAATGATTGCATAATGCACCAGGTGGCAAATGTATGCTGTTTACAGGATTAGGGAAGAAAAACTTGTGAACATTAACACTCAATGAAAAGCCACTGAAGTGTCAAACCCTCGGCGAACTGCGCATTGCGCGGTACCGCCTAATGGACGGACCCGCATCTCTCGCTTAGTAGCTCACGGAGAGTCTGACACGGGCTAGCTACGGTAGTAGATAGCATGCGGGAGTCAATACACGCCCTTCGCTGTGGGTTGGGCCATGGAACACGGTCCGCGACAGTGCCAGTTTGTCGCTCTCGAACGCAGTCGTTTCAGGAAAATCGCCCATTTTTATTTTTCAGGCTCGTGTAATTCTGAAGCTGCTGGTATCGCTAATGGGTCGCTTCGTAGCCTGTATAAGCGTCGACACACACACACACACACAAATGTATTCATAGCCTAGTGTCATAGTGTACATAGTAGCTACTTTATGACATCACTAACAAAAACAAGCAGCTTATATATCGCTAGGCAAACCTGCTTGGTTTCAGTCAGGAACAGACTCCAAGTAAAGTATGCTACTTAATACTAATGTAACTGTAATCTTGCTAGGATAACATAATAAGTAGCATAGCAAAATATAAATTACCCAGTTGTATAATAACTTGTGGAAAGTATGGCACATGACTATTAAGTAGTTCAGTTTGCAAAAAGACTCTGGACCCAAGCAGGCGGAGTGGCCTAAGCCCCTTCCGGAATGTGGCGCATGTCGGGTAAAGAGGCCTGACACATGCTGTACATGATGAAGGAATGGGAGCTCCCCGAATGACCAGAAAATAATTATTTATAGTCTATCTCTCTACCACTTACTGTTTCCACGCAAACCTGCCAGGTCTGTGGTTAGAATTACATGTAATTTACGACACTGACAGTTGCTGCTATGACGCTGACAAAAGCCGACACGCTCTCTCCCCCGTTTTAACTCTTATCTAAATTCCCTCCCCTTATCGTCGTGATGATCCATACCCAACACAGACAGAGATGAAACGACTACAGTACCCCTCGCACGTGGGCAAGTAGCGCGCCGAGGTTAGGAAGTGACCGGTGTCTGTGGGGAGGGTAGATAATGGAGACTACTCTGACTCTGCTTGTTCTGACTGCTGTTATTGGGTGAGTCTCTATCTACTCACTCCCAGTCAGAGTGTGCTGTATTGTTATGGATGTTCTCATGGTTATCAAGTTGTGTGTGCACTGCGCCCCCATTATAGGATAATGCAAAGTTAGTTACTTAGTGTATATAGGTATGTCAGTGTAGGTGTGTCTGTGTAATAAGTTTACCAACGTAATACCGTTCAGTAATACTAGTTTAGCAACTTGCGCTCAAGCATCTGCTGAGCTTGAATTATGGAGTGACTGTGCCATCTGTAGACATGAGCATCCAATGATAGGTGCCGTGCCGATTTCCACTTATACACCAAGCCTGTTAACGGTGCATAGAGCATCAACGAGACATTCTGATTTCTGTTGTAAACCATTATTATTCGTCATGTTTAATTATGGTTTATTTTCCTTACAGCCTGTCACAGCAGCAGATTCTCCCTCGGTGCCTCTGAGTATATGGGCAACTAGTGGCCTGTAAAAGAGTTAAATCCGTAGGATCAGGGAAGCTTCAGAAAACATGTGTGTGTTTGTTAGTCGAGATGCATAAGTTTCTCTTGTTGCTGCTATTTTCATGCAGCTCTAGCTAACCCTATGGATGCCATGGTATCCTCCTTAATAAGCAGAAATTGATTTCTAAATACTAGCACCTAGTGATATGCCCTCAATATAAATTTTGTCTTCACTTATGGGGCGCTGGACCTAACATTTTATGCCCGTGATGTTTAAAGGGTTATTTTGTTGTTGTTTTGATATGTTTGTAATGTAGTTTACGTTTCAAAATGCAGTCAATATTCACTCATCACTACACAACAATGGAAGGAGATGAGTGCAGAGTAAATGCCGCGTGAACCGTAAAAAGCTCAGCAATCAGAGATATCACACTGTTGGCTACAGTCATTTATCCCTCCCCCGATTTATTCTCGGAACAAGTAAGCCTTCTGAGATGATGATGCTGTTATGTGTCATGATAACTATATAAGTGATCGGTGCTCGTGTGTGTTTTTGTCTGTTTCGAGTATGACAATCAACTCCCCAACTCCTTGGACAGTACAACATTAAGTGTGACGAGGGCCGACTAGCATTGTTTTATGTCGCAGAAATCGACCTACAGGGAAAGGAAGACTGTGTGTATAACGGAAAACAAAGGTTAGTAACTAACAGCTATATAGAGCACGACGTATTCAGCCACGGACACTAATGTGTCCAGAGCCTCCATAAGTCCATAACAACTCATTGGGGCTGTAATACCTGGTGCTTGCAAAGTTCAATAGGAAAGGCTGTCTTGTGTAGGTTACTTTATTTTATTACTAGTAGGCAAATGCATGGCATTCTTGGCGAGCGGGAGCGAGCACACAATGACTGTATCAGCACGAGCCATCCTAGCCTATTTTCAACTTGAACCTTAGAACCACGAAGATTGGAAAGAGGTATAGAGCCTCGGTCAGGTATCGAAGAGCGCAGGGAATGCCAGCGAATAGACGAGAGCTCTTTCGCTGGCTAGATTTCGCATCGATATGACAGCTAGAGTCTCCGAGCTGTTCCTTTTTGTGTCTTGGGCAGGCTTAATATTAGCATTTAGTTGGTATTGTCTGTGCCATTGCCATCATGCATCAACCAAAAAAATTTAAAAAAAGCTAGGCAGTGTATACGCATGACTATGACTGGCAGGCAGCATGTGAAAAATGTGAAATCATTTCGGATGAAAAGAAGCGCGTTTATAATCCTGGGAGCATGCAAAGTTGGATGGCGTACGGTCGTATATAGATGAATATATATAGAAAATCCGCACCGTTCGTACCACTAAGTTCGCTCGCTCCCGCTCGCCAACTAGCAGGGGAATGCATGGCGTTTTTGGCCAGCGGGAGCGAGCACACGATGACTGTATCTGCATAAGCCATCCTAGCCTATTTACAACTTGAACCTTAGAACCACGTAGATTGGAAAGACATACAGCCTCGGTCAGGTGTCGAAGGGGGCAGCAAATGCCAGCGAATACCCGGGAGTTCTTTCGCTGGCTAAATTTTGCATCGCAGCATGTAAAGCGTTCCCTATCACGCAAGCGACGCTGATGCAGACGAGCCTCTCTCTGCTCAGGAGTCTCACGGGCACAATATTCTCTTTCCCACTTTCTTGACGAAGGGCATCTTCTCTGGACTATGCGCACATGTATACGCACGACATTATTACAGGTAGGCAGCATGTAAAAATTGTGAGCGGATAAAAAGAAACGCGTAATCCTGGAGCATGCGCAGTTGGACGACGTACGGTCGTCGTAGATAAAAGCGCACGCGCATAATATTTTGCCTCACGCCTGCCAGCCAATGCGTCACAGTCCGACTGAGGCCGCTCGTGCACGCGCTCTACTGACTGCGCGCGAAGCCAGACTTCCTACGAATCTGCGCGCACGGCGGAAGCTATACTTCCTACGAATTCTTCTACTTCCTTTTGGTGACTAATTGACATTCCTAAGCGTGACTAATTGCCGAACGTACGTACGTACGTACTTACGTACTACGCATATCGCGACAATACGACCCGGAGTAGTTGCCTCACGCTAACGCGCTCGGCAATTATTGGCTAGCGGGAGCGAGCCAACCTAGTCGTTCGCCGGAGCGGAATTTTCTGTATACTAGTAAGCGAATGCATGGCATTTTTGGCGAGGGGGAGCGAGCACACAATGAATGACTGTCTCGACGGCAATTCGCCTTGTCTGATAGCTTCGGATCTGCTGGAGCCTGGCCTGTTGCGTTTCCTTTGATTCCGCAGCACGTATAACTCTTGCTCGTACACTACTTCTCGCTAGTCGTGCTTCCCTTTTCTTCCGCTGTTTCCGTGGCCAGGCGTTGCCTTGCCCGTTCCCTATCACACAGTCGTCGTCGAGAAAGACGAGCCTCTCTTGGCTCAGAAGTCTCACTGGCACAACGTTCTATTTCCCTTTCTCGTCGACGACGAAGGGCATCTTCTCTAGACCAATCAATCGCAGAATCGAAGATGCTGAGCTTGCTAGTTAGTTACTGCTATAGGGCAGCGGGGCAGCGGTTGCAGCGCATGCCGAGGAGAGTTCTCTCGCTGGCTTGTTCGATCGGCGCATATCGCGAGGCAGCGTGTGTGAATTTAAAAAAATTTGAAAATGATTTCGGATAAAAGAAGCGCGTAGCGAAGCCGAGCATGCGCACTTAGACATCGTAAAATCGCGCCGTTCGGACCACTAGGTTAGCTCGCTCCCGCTCGCCAATAGTATCAGAACTATTAACAAACTTGATGAGCAAGAGTTTGAGGAAACCTAGGGGCATAAGAGTAAGAACCAAGAAGAATAGATTTCCTAGAAAGCGCTGGTTTGATGAAGAATGCAAAACCCAAAAAAGAGTTGTCAACAGTGCAAGAAAAAACTTAGAACATTTCTCAGACAATCAGTTCAATCGAGAAAACTATTTCAGGGAGAAAAGGGTCTACAAGAAAATGGTTAAAAGGAAGCGAGAAGCAGCAACTATACAGCATTACCAAATGCTTGTGAGTGCTCAAAAGACAGATCCCAAGAGATTCTGGAAATATATCTCTAGAGCGAAGAGGAGGAGGGCTGCATTTTGCAACATAGACCCCAAAGCTTTTCTGTCCCACTTTACAAATCTAAACATGTCATCAGAAAATGACAGCTCTGTAGCTCTCCCTCAGTCTGCAACTCCATCACCTTATATCCCAGAATTGGATGATGATATAACAGAGGAAGAAACCAAACAAGCAATTCTTCATCTGAAATAAAATAAAGCGCGGACCACTCCCACATGGCCTGGAGGGGCAAGTCATTGTGGTGCAGCCAGCTGACCTGGTGTAATCCAGGAAGATAATCCCAGACTTGGCAATATGGCTGTTGTGCTTCGCACTGTATGTGGCAGTCCGGGCAAAGGATAGCCCCCAGAAGGTGCAGGAACTTATGGCCTACCAAATGGCAATTGCCAAATGGCCATCATGGGTTGTATATGATCAGAATTTTAGGCAGGAAGCGGCAGGTAATCCAGGGCAATCATGGGCAAAGGTAGACCCAAGCATCTACGCTCAATGCTTCACAGGTCAAGCAGTTAGCTCGGAGAGCTGGTGCTCCAGGTGCCAGTGCCTGGACCACACAACCAATAACTGCCCTTACCGCCAGAGAAAGCGGTCATGGAACTCTGCGATGGGCGGGGGGAGAGCTGGACAGGAGCAGCCGATCTGTATTAAGTTTAACAAATTCAACGGCGACTGCAAGTTCGGAAAGGATTGCAAGTTCCTCCACGTGTGCAGCACCTGCCGTGAACCCCATCCAGTGTCAAGCTGCAAAGCCGGCAAACAAGGCAGTGGGCTCTCTGGCAAGCAACCGAGACCAATGTGAACAATCGGAACAGGCATGATAGCAAAGTCGACCTGTGGGTGCCATATATCCTTAACTGTTACGTGTCATAATTATCCCACCATAAGGGACACTCTATACGCTTGAGGTAGCCACTCCTTTTATTCCTTTCCCCTCCTTTCGCATTTCTCCTGGTCTTCCCCCCCTCTCTCCTCTCTCTATTACTCTCTCAGAATCTCAGAGGGGCCAGTACAAGTACATCAGCCAGTGCTAGCGCTCGAAGCCTGTGCAGATGGAAGTGGAGAGTTGCCGGCTTACTTCTGCAAGATTGTGACCCCACTTAAGTTGGATGCTTGGCAGGAAGCATTGCAGGATCACCCAGACCAAGCCTTCGCTAACTATATCCTGGGGGGCATTAGAAATGGTTTCAGGATCGGATTCGACAGGTCCAGGGTATGCCTAAAGTCCCGGGGCACAAACATGCTCTCAGCAACAGAGCAGTCGCAAGGTGGTGCCGAAGTATCTAGGAGAGGAGGTTCAGGCAAGTCGCATGTGAGATCAGGCGTCAGGAGCAAGGGCTACCCAGAATATCATCACCCCCTTCGGGTGATTCCCAAAAAGAACAGGCCGAGAAAGTGGAGGCTGATAATCGATTTATCCAGCCCCGATGGCCATAGTGTTAATGACGGGATCAGCAAAGAGCTCGCTTCACTTACCTATATGTCAGTAGATGATGTGGTCAGGGGCCTACTGCAGCGTGGAAGAGGGGCCCTGCTGGCAAAGATGGACATAAAGCAAGCGTATCGTAACATACCAGTTCATCCGCAAGATAGGCTTCTGCTCGGTATGCGTTGGGAAGAGTCCATTTTCGTGGATGCAGCCCTCCCGTTTGGGTTAAGATCTGCCCCTTTGATATTCTCGGCAGTTGGAGATGCACTGCAATGGGTGATGGAAAGCATGGGGGCAAAGTGGGTTGCCCACTACATTGACGATTTCGTGACCATAGGGGCACCTGATTCACCAGAGTGTAGCGATAATGCGCAGATCATGCAGGCAGCATGTGAAAGAGTGGGTTCCCGGTGGAGCCTGAGAAAGTGAGGGCCATGCAACCACCATATCATTTATGGGGGTCGAGTTGGACTCACAGATGCTAGAGATCCGCCTCCCTAAAGAAAAGCTGGATCGCCTCAGGGCAGAGTTGAAGGAGTGGAGAGGGCGAAAAGCTTGCAGGAATCTTATTGGGTCTCTGTCACATGCATGCAAGGCCGTGCGGGCAGGGAGGTCATTCCTACGCAGGCTAATAGACCTCTCGACAGTAGTGGAAAAGCTTGATCACTACGTTCGCCTGAGCAGAGAGGCCAGGGCAGATATCGAGTGGTGGGTCCAGTATGCCGAAGCCTGGAATGGGACCTCCATGATGCAATCGGTGCAAGAGGCTCCCCCGGCAGCCGTGGTTACATCAGATGCCTCGGGAAACTGGGGTTGTGGAGCGTACTGTGGCACAAACTGGTTCATGCTGGAGTGGTCGGGCCTCTTCTCTGGTTGTCACATCACAGTAAAAGAGCTAGTGCCTATTGTAGTCGCCGCAACGGTCTGGGGGCCCAGTTGGCGGGGGAAGACAATCCTTGCCAGCTGCGGTAATATAGCAGTGGTGGCAATTGTCAATCATGGGTCATCGAAAAACACGGAGGCTATGCAACTGATGAGATGCTTATCGTTCATTGCAGCTACATTTGACTTTCGCCTAGTAGCAACTCACATCAGGGGGAGGGATAATATCTTAGCTGATGCGCTATCACGGGATAACTGGTCTCTCTTCAAT